TAATAGCAATAGAATTGATCAATTTATACTAGGGAATTGGAATTGTATTTTGTAGTGGTAGACATACACTGCACAATGGTAACACACGGTAAATATATAATTTGAAATTTTTGTAGTTGTTTTCCCTCTCAATCTTATATTATACAAGAATGTATGTTTTGTTAATTAACATAACATTTTTAACGAATTCGGACAGAAATATCCATAAATATATAAGGGCATGACACGAAAAATATTTGAAAGCTTCGAATGTTCGAGGCTGGTATTCTAAACAAACCACGAGTCGAAGTAGACCTTCCCCGAGTGACGCCTTCCCCTGACGTCATACCGTCCACTGTTTTGAATTTCGGTATTCTGAACACTGATATCAGTGGAGTAGACTCGTGGACTGGTCTACTTCATGAGAAGAGTAGGGGTGAAGCTTCTTCCGTGCTATCAGCCAATAAAAATGCTCGAAGCATTCTGATGCAATTCACGCGCGACAAGCTGTTGAAAAAGGCATTTTGTTTCAGCATCTATTTGAGATAAAATATTGCCTTTTGAGGTTTATTTGAGATTAAATACTGTAAAACTTTACTTTTATTTTATTGCACTAATATTTAATATTTACATTTATTAAATAAATTTTTTATCCATCTCCGAAATGATAAGTTTTTTTTTTGCTGTTATTTTTGATAATAATAAACATTGACCTATTAGATAAATTTCATTTACAAGTCTGAAAATTAAAAATCTAATATGTATTATTATTGACGTATATGTTATGACGTGTAACATATGACGTATATTAACCTATAAAATTACATATATTATGACGTATATGTTATAAGTATATGCTATTGAGTTGCAATCAGATCTTCGGTTTGTTTATTCTAATAGCGATTAAGAAACCAAATTTTATTTTTCAGAATTGTATTACAAGAGTACATCGAATTGGCATATCACATGTATGCTTTTTTTTTTTTTTTTTTTTTTAAGAAATAAGCTTTTAATTGCATTTAATATTATGTGGATAGTAGAAAAGATCCAGAAAAAAAAAATTTAAATATTAAAATTTTTAAATCTAAACAGCATTCTTGCTACATATCACTTTATATTGCTAAACAGATGGTTTTCACTTTGCCTTTTGAAAATTACGAATTTTCTTAATTATGATTTAATAGAGGTAGGTGAAGGATTTTTTTTTTAATTTAAGAAGGTAGTATTTATATCACTTTATTTGTGTTGATAATGGAAGAAAGTATAATTTGCAATTTAAATTTTATTTTCAAGTAAGCTTTTGTTTTATGCTTCATTATTCGAATACGGTTAAATTTGATCAATACCAATCAAATGATGAAAATATAAGCATCACAGTTCATTATATGGACCTCCTTGTTACGTGGAAAATTTTTTGAACTCTCTTTTAATAAAACTCTCATAAAATTTTGGCTATAAGAAAAAATTCACTTTGAGAGATTCGAATTATTTAGTTATTAATTTATCAAGTAATTTATGTACTACATTTTGCAATTACCATGTTCAGCAATATTAGTTTTATGGTAGAAAAGATTTTTCAAAGATTTTAAGTATAGTGAATTATAGTACAGTTTCATAGTTATAAAATACTTTAATATTCACTTAAGTATTTGTTCATATCCCATTTTCAGTTTTTATGGTAATATTAGAACCACTGTACATTTGATTTGAACCTAAAATTTGACAAAAATGTTTAAAACTTTTTCATTTTGTTGATTGTACGTAAGTGCCCCCCCCCTTCTTTTTTTTTGGATAGTTTCAGAAAATCTAATGCACATAAAACCTATGAATGTAATAAACAGTTATGAAACAGCTCTATTTAAATATTCCACATTACAAGTTGAATAGTACTTAAAAGTAATTTAGTTTTAAAATTAATCTTTTTTACTGGAAATAATGCAAACAATGCCTACAAGAAATGCAAATTTAACTATTTGAAATTTAAAAAAATGTACATTTCTTGAAAAGAATCAAGAGAAAAGTCTCACATAAGCATGTGAGGTAGTGAAAACTTAATTTTTTATTATTATTATTTTTTTTTTTTTGAAATTTAAGTTCAAAAGCACTTTGTAATCATATCTTTTCCATATTGATTACAAGAGAAAATACTTCTAAGTTAAATTTCTCTACCTCGTTTCAGAAATGAAAGAAATTACAGCAAACTTTTTATTACATATAAAACTATTGAAAATTGTAAGGTCTTATTTGTTTTTTTTTTAAAAAAATGTGAAATAAAAAGCGTAATTTAACACATTAAATTCCTATCTGCTGTATCTTTTTAAGATTATAAAAAGTAATTAAAAAATGACACACTTGTTTTTTAATGGAGAGAAAGATTTGCTAAGAAAATTGAGACAATTTCTGGTAATTAATCATCAATATTTATTATTTACAATTTAACTTTAGATAATCTAATAAAATAATAAGAAAATAAAAAGTTCTACAAAATTTTTAGTCAGAAAAAAATTAACATTTACGATTTTACCTATTAAGTTCATCAAATATACTATTGCAACCCCAAAAATACCTATTTATTCGCATATAGCAAGGAAAAATTAAATAAAATTAGCTTTTTTTTTTTAAAAAAAAAAAGAAAGATAAATATGCTCATGATATTAAAAATAAATTAAGTTTAACTTGTGTTTCTACTGAAATCACGTCCTCTCTCAGTTCCACGCATAAATACTGAACAAGATTTTTCGTTAATCGCATAAATACTGAACAAGATTTTTTGTTAATCGAAAAAAATAAAAAAATACATCATCATGAAGACTAAAAGCATCTTTTCTGTTTCTATATATCGGTCTCCTTCGAGGACTTAGCCGTGTAAAATAATTACTAACCAATGCATTTCACGTGCTCGCCATTACTCTACTGAAAATACCAGTGGTTTTCGCGTCGATCGAAAAGAACGCTCAAGCTCCACTAAAACTTGCTTGGAATACCGAAAATCGAGCAATGGGCGGGAAAAGTAGAATATCAGGCAACGCGCCCCCTGGTGTGGCTTCCAAAAGCTGAAATCGACTGTCGACTTGGGGCTCAGAATACCAGCACAACGTTATTTTGACGTTTTCTATTATCAGTCATTAATTCCGCTGTTAACTGTCCGAATCAATCGCAGTTGATACTTATAAAAAATTTGTTTAACAGAGACTAACATACAAAACATTTTACATTAGTTCTTTATCTTCTCTTATCAATGTGTAGCGTATCTACCACTACAAAAATACAATTTCAGTTCACTAGTATATAAGACATGTTAACTCGATTCTATGTTGAGGTACCTTTTCATAGAAGAAGGTTAACATTGTCGATAACAACTTTCCTCCCCACATTGGTGACCCGGACGTGATATGAACATGTCTATCTTGACGGAAACTCCCACTCTGACAAGAACACGCCTATCTTAACAGTAACGCCCACTTAGATCTGGAGAAGCCTAATTCGTTGGATGGTCCACATTGAACAGTTAACTTGCTACTTGTGACTGCGTCATGATCCCCCTCCTAGCGCTGTTGCTGCTCAGTTTCAATCATACACAACGTACAACGTGTACACTCGACTGTTAAAGGCAACACAGGAGCGACCATGACCGTGAACTTAACACAGCTCTCACGATCCGCACTCAAAAGTACGGTGATCTTATTACAACTCTCCCGGTTTCGCACAAAAACAGCAATGATTCAACTAGTGATATCCATTCACGGAATTCTATCACAGATATAATTCTAGTGGGGGAGTACTGTAGCGTATCTACCACTACGAAAATACAATTCCAATTCACTAGTATATAAGACATGTTAACTCGATTCTATGTTGGGGTACCTTTTCATAGATGAAGGTTAACATTGTCGATAACAGCTAACCCCACAAATGCAACCATTTAAAGATTTCCGGTATTTATCCCAGCCATCGACTCTCAAAAAGCGATCACGCGGAAGGCAAATTTCAAAACATTTTTTCCCCTCTATACACTATAATTTTCTAGTGGTGTATTGAGGGGAAGCAATGTTGCTGTGAAACCAACTTTAATGTGCCGGACAATCAGACATTTCTAACAATGTGTAAATACTTTTTTCAATTGCTAGGTATACAAGTTTTCTGACAATAATAACCAAAATTTGAATATAATAGTGCAGGAACAATCTGAGAGTTATAATCTATTACTTTTTAAATGCACAGTTTAAAAAAATATTGATCGTTTTTATATTATTATTTTTTAAAACTTCACTTAAATATATGAAGCGATCAGAATGTTACATTTTAGATTATTTTCGGAATACTCAGTAATTTTTTTTTCTTCTTTCTGCTACTCTTGTAGTGTATTTTGATATTTTTTCTTTCTTTCTTAAGATATTTATTTTTGAGTCCTAGAATATTAAGATATTTATAATTTTTTACGTGAAAAGTGCAAGATTTAAGCGTATCTTTAACATTAAATATTTTTTAATTTTAAAATACTTAAATGTCTGTTAATAAAAACTCAATTTTTTTTTTAAAAAAAGGGAAGAAAAAGCTGGGATTTTTTTTAAACTCTTGCATCCTTAATTCACATGTTTTTAAATCTAGAAATAGATCAAATAATATAAGGATACAGTGAATACTTGGCGTCTTCATTTACCTGCAAAAGCTTGAGGATATGATCATGAAAAAAGATTTTATAAAATAAAAAAATTTCTGTTTATTCTCATCATTAAAGATTATGTGAAAACTTTTTGAGCTGTGAAATTCAAAAATGGTAATTATCGTTTCGACAAAACTTCGTAATAAAAGCTATCTTTAACGAAAATCACTTTTCCTAGTTTACAAATATGGAAGCGCAAGGATGAATAAAGTCATAGATAAGAATTGCGCAGGTGTTAATAATCTCAGGTTATCAGATCACCTCGAGCAAAGATGTATCCGTTATTTTTTATTTATTTATATGCATCGGAATTAATCTTACGTTACGATCGTCTTGACAATAATAGTTGAGTTAATTCCAAAGTATATCGTAGCGGGTAAATTAACTGTCACAAATGACAGCTAAAGTTCTTTTTTTGTTCGTCGTAAGCTAATTTAGTCAAAAATAGATGAGAACGATTTATTAAATATTGTGTTTGACATGAAAAGCCCGCGAAATGTTTTACGATAAATTCTTGAGAGTTTTCTTTACGCTTTAATTTCATTCATTGATGGAAACCGATTTTCGACAGCGAAACTTGGCTCTATTCCGAATGTCGTCATCAGTAGACGAGTAGCGGATGGACGTAGAGGAAGATTATTTTGCTTTCATCAATTCGAAGAGTGGGAGACATAAGCTAATGGCACAAGTTGCGCCGGCGCGCAAGCTCTCCTCCTTGCCCCATAATAGGTCAGATAACTGGCAGCCATTTTGCTAGATGAGTATATGTACCATGGCTAAAGAGTACCTCTTTCAATAAAATACACAATCTAGTCTATTTTATGAAATGCTGAAAAATAAATCGTTTCATTTTTAAAATTCACATGAATATTTTGGAAAAGTGCTTTCGACAGTACTAATTGAGAGAAAAATTTTGCTTCCAATTTGCAATAAGAGTAGTGCGGAGGGATACATGAATTAAAGCTCTGGCGTTTCCGTGCCTGGTGTTTGGGATTTAATCATACGAGATGGTGTCTGTTGTGTGTACTTGTGTTTATATGTAAAATATTTTGTTATTTATATATCCCTCACTAGAAGTTAGGTATTTTAGACTCATAAGGATATATATCTGTCCATCGTACAAAAATGGGAAATACTGCAACAGCTAAAAAAGGAGATGCAGTGGAAAATGGTAAGTGAAAAATACAGATGTTATGTATATAATTGAATATGTACAAATACTGCTTGAAAATTTCCACTGATCTCTGTAATGTCACTAACATTTACTAATTAAAGTCTTATTAATACTCCGATAACTTTACTTGTACCCATTTTCTTTCTTTGCATGTCTTGATCATTCTTTACTGTTTACAACTTTGACAGGATTAAATGCTCGTTTATACTGACTTTAACTCACGAGTGACTTATCTTTTGCAATATAAGTGTGCTAATATATCTCGATTTACAAAAGATAGAATATAACGCTTTCTGTATGTTACAGGGTTATACAACTGAACTAAAATAAAATTTATCTGGGATTTCAAGTTATTATTATAGGGCTAAAGTAAATTCTGCGTACTTTCTCTTAGTCTAATTGATTTTACTTGGAATTGTTTGTAAACAAAGTGGGGTGTTTAGCTTACAGCTGGTTTTGTTTACTAATAATTAATCAGTGTTTACCAATTAATATATTGGGTAAATATAGTATGAATTATTAAAACAGTCTCTCCTTGAATAATATTTTATCTAACGAGTACTCTATGTATTTATCCAGCTGTTTATGATTATTATTAAATTTTGACATATATTGTAAGTTTTATTTAATAAACATATAAAAAAAAACATACAAAAAAAACTATTTATTTTTAATAATAATTTCTGCTTTGGAATTGGATGTGTATTGAGTTATGAATTAGAGAATGTTAGATTGAATACATAATTAGTGACTTATTTACAACTGATTTTTAATATTCTTGAGATAAACTCATCCAATCATCAGTAAAATTTGTGATCAATTGAATAACATAGTATGTTTGTCTTCATACTTGGATACCAATAATTGCTTTTGATGAATAAATAGATAAATGGAACACTTTTATGTACTTGTTTTTTTACTGTGGATTTTTTTAAAATCAAAATTAGTTTACCTTAAATAACATGGAGAGTGTGTTACTTTAAAGTGTGTAGGGCTTACTTTGTTTTCCATGCAAAGTCAACAAGTAAAGCAGAGGTTCCTGCTGTTTTTTTCTCTCGTCCACCCCTTTTATTGTTGCTGCAATATCCTTTCCAAGTCTATAAATATGTATTTAATAGATTTAGAATATTTGAATTAAGAATATTTTATTATTTTATAATAAGTATAACAATGTTAAAAAGTATTTTTATAATATTTTTGGTTAATAATTAAATACTTAGTTGCTCCGTGGCAGAATTGCTGTGACATTGTTGCACAACATTACAGAGTTCTTGCAGAAAGAATTTCCCTTTAGAAAGTAAAAAATTTTGGTTTTCTTTTCTGCAAAAATTTGTGATATTTTTTCTCTTTAAAATTATATTTAAAAGATGCCTTTTTCGCCTATCGGAGGTGAAAGAAATGTGCTTATTTTTTCTATTCTTATTTGAGAAAAATGAAAAATAAAGAATATTGAACAAAAAATTCTTTTTCTGCAGAAATGTTTGAAAGATTTTTTTTCCCTGAACAATTATACTTAAGAGATACCTTTATCATGTAATAGAGTGGAAGAAATGCTCATGATTTTTTTTAAATTCAATTTTGGAAAAATAAAAAAGTTTTGTATTTCTTTTCTTTCACTGATTTTGCGATTTTTAATTATTTATTTATGTGATGATGATTTATAAAATGCGAAAAAAGAAATAATTAGTGTGTTTTCTTCTTACAAAATGTGAGAATATCGCCCATGATATCAGAATAAAAAAATACTACATATTCATTTTTAAAAAAATACATAAATTTTAATACATCCAAATAGGTTTTTCTTTGTAAATACAGTACAGAACCCGTTATCCGGAAATCAGAAAACCGGAAACCCAAAAAAACTGAGCAAAATTCGATAAATTTTCCCGCCATTTTTTTTTTTAAAGATGTTTTACCTTACCATCATTTTAGAAATAATCATTAGTGTATTACTTCATCGTTTTTTCTTCTTTTTAGGATTGTTTCCAAATATTTTTTTTTTTAGTTGGGTTTAACAATGAAAAAAAACAGCTTTTTGTAGCGATTCAGAAAACTGAAAAAATCAGTTATCCGGAATAGCGATAGTCCCGATCGTTCCGGATAATCGGTTCCCTACTGTACAACGTTTCTGTTACTTTAAATTTAATAACGTGTATATTAGTTATTATTAAGAGTATCTTGCAGAAAGATATTAGTGCTAGAGAGGTTTGCTGCAGAAAGCCCAAACAAATTCTGCCACAGGGCTTAGTTGTATGGTAATATTTAACAATAATGGTAATGCCTAATTTTTATGGTTTGGTAACGAAGAATTATTCACATTTCTATCTCAGCATAAAATATTTGTTATTTAAACAGTTATGTGATTAAAAAAGTTTATCTTAAAAGAAAACTTTTTATCGATGACATAAAAATGTAGCAATACCCATTTCGTGAACCTTGAGCAGCTCCATGATCTTCATAGAAATTGAAACTTTCACACCCTTGTGGTTTTCCTAAATTTTTTCTGAAAGGCTGATATATTCTTTGAAGTAAAGACTTTAACACTTTTAAGTTTAAATTCACTTTTTTCTCACTTTTAACTTGTTTATAAAAGATTTTAAAAAAATTAAATCAGCACATTATCTATAGATATTATTTTTGGATATGTCTCTTATTTGATTTTGAAATACAGTACAGAACCCGTTATCCGGAAACAGGAAAACTAAAAAACCGGAACAAAATTCGATAAATTTTCTCGCCATTTAAAAAAAAAAATAATTTCCCTCATAAGATTTTACGATTTTTCTTTCTTTTCTTAAAGATGTTTACCTTACCATCATTTTGGAAATAATCATTAGTGTATTACATATTCTAAATNTAAGATTATTTCCAAATTTTTTTTTTTAGTTAGGTTTAACAATAAAAAAACGGCTTTTTGTAGCGATTCAGAAAACCGGAAAAATCAGTTATCCGGAATAGCGATGGTCCCGACCGTTCCGGATAATCGGTTCCATACTGTACATTTTACTCAGTATTATCTGTACTAAGAAATGCTAGTGATACCTCATTACATTCATAAACTAAACCACATCACTCATTTCACATTTTTTTAATACACAGGAATGCTAATATTTAATTAAGTACTATTCATTTTAAATTTGGATATATCATGATCTGTCCCCCTAACTACTATCTCTACAATGGCGAATGCTTGCAAATTTTTTATCAAAGAACATGGTAGAGATTAGCACTGGGGTTGGTTATGAGTTATACCCTTCAAATTGGTCTCTATGATGCTTTTTTTTTTCATAAATTTTTTTTAGTTCACATAAGAAGCCCTGTCCCGGAAATTGACATGTTTAGTGAGTATTAAATTGTAATTGCATGAAAAAGTGTAATTACTTTCCCAAAGAAAATATTCAATTTTTTTTCTATGAATCAATAAATAATAGTAAATGAAGGAAAACATTTTAAATAATATTTAATTTAAATTTAAATTTTTTTTTCCTTAAAAAAGTAGATTATATCTGGAATTTTGAAGAAATGTTTTGTAAAAACATCTTTGTATCTCTCGCATTTTTATATTAAGTAAGACCACATTTTGTGAGCAAACACATAATGATTTTAAACCAAAACTCTTGTTTGTTATTTTAAAATAAGTTTTTTTTTTAATTACAGAAACAGTAATTACAAAGAGGGGCAATAATGAGAGTAAACTTAATTAACACCATTATTTTTTTTTAAATTTTATTTTTTTTTTCTTTACTATACCATTTGCTCTATAATAATTTTTAAAAAAGCGTATGAGATATTTCTTTTACATTTTAAAATATAATTTTTTTATTTGATCTAAATTGTTTGTAGTTTTGTAATGGGTTGAAATTTGCCTTGGTGGCATTTTTTAAATAACACATAATTTCATTTTTTTTGTTTATTTTGTGCATGCAACCAATAAAACTTTCATCCAAACAGCCTGATAAAATTTTGCCTAACTTTTTACTTCGATAAAAGTTTTAATTTTGATCTTCATTTTATAACCTTTATCAGCAGTTGAAAGTAGCACAGTACAACTAGTGAAACTACTGTAATCACTACTTTTTTTTGTAGTGTACATTGCTGCCAACTGTTAGTTCTGATATTTTAGCCTTGTTCCAAAGTTCATTGACATTATTTCATTTAATGTAGCATTATTTGTTTTATGTTGAGTTGTTCCTTATCTCTCAAGTTTTTCCAGCAACTAAAACTGGCATCGTTATTCTAATATGGCTTACAAGAGCACTGTGAATGTATGTTTTCTCTTTATATATTTTGTATAATTTGTGTAGGGAAAACATAGGGAATTTTTTTTCAGATATGAGTTGCAACCCTGAATATTTGTCATCGATTTTCATATTTAACTGATTTAAAAGTTATGTGTTGCGATTCATATTCACGTTGGAAACTCTTACATCGCGATTCCTATTCACGCAATTTAAAAATCCAATGCTGCATTTCTTATTCACAGTAATTCATTCTAAAAATTAGGCGACGTGATTCTTTTTTACACAATTTTAAAATCCAATGTCGTGATTCATATTCACCTGATTTTGAAATCCTACATCGTGATTCTTGTAAGAAGTAAGTTTTTTCTTGAATTAGTTACTATAAAGGTGTGATATTCTTCATTAGTATAAGTAATTTCATTTAAAATTATAGCTGAAAAAATTGTGTAAAATATGAAACGTGTTTAGTTTATAAATTGATATTGATATTTTGTTTTTTACTTTGTCATAATTATCCCTGGTTGGCTTTGTGCTCCCATTTTTATTCTTAATAAGTTGGCAGTAGTGTGTTGTTTGCTACTTTTTTTTTATATGAAAAAAAGTAGTACATTGCAAAAAGAAACAGTAGCTTTGTAGCAATTCTTGGCTACTACTTTTAACGTTAGTTTAGTTAAGAAGCAAGATACTAATTTTCCAAGTTTTTTGGGTTCAAATCTTTGCTGGTCCGTTAAAAGATGCGATAGAAATGCCCCTATG